TCGAATTCTGTGTAATTAAAGTACGATTAGATCGCGAATGTTGCCGTCTTCGTTATTGAGAATCGAGCTTGTGGGGGAAGGGAGGCTTTAGCTTGACTAATGGTAGAAAAGCACTTAATTACCTGAAGGAAGGTTCTACCTATCGATATCTGCTTCGGCACTAAAAGAAAAAGCTCCTTCGCTTAGTTTGAGTAATGGTGATCGGACAGCGAAGAAGCGGCTCCACTTAGCGCTATATAAATTGAACGATTATGGGGGAAAAATAAAAAGTACCTTCAAAAGAAAAAGAAAAAAAAAAAAAAATATATATATATATATATATATATATATATATATGTATTCCTTTTACTTTGCTTTTTACATGTTGACGAAGGTTGACAGATGGATATGGTATAGGTGTATATATATATATATATATATACCTAAATACATAAGGACAATAAGTAAAGGTCGAAGTAAAGCTTACCGTCTGTTTCCCTCTCGATGCGAATCGTTTCGTTTGCTGCAAATAACGTCGAGAGAAGAAAAGAAAATTTGTCCTCCCTTTTCGCCTAATAGCAGGATCTTGACTGAGCCGTATTATCCTTGTGAAAAATTCACAGTCTCTAAAAGTACCTACGCCCCCTTTTTCCTTGCACCTCTCTCTCTTCCTCTCTGTCTTTCTCTTTCTTTCCATTTTTTCCCTTCTACTTTTTCACATATACCGTTCATTTTCTAGCATATTTTCCTTGTGGTTCTTTTAAAAATCCACATTTCCATAACACCCGCCCCTTTTTCTGCTTCTACATTCGTATCGCCTTATACTTTTAACCATGAACGATTCAAATAGCCTCGTTTGACCGTAAGGTACCAACCTCTTTATATTATTTCTTCTATTATTTCCCTTTCGATGCTCGGGGATCGCGTTGGTGCAACGACCTTAAACACCACACTATGGGACATCGATAGTATTTTTCTTACTCCTTTCTATATATTTCTTTTTTCTTTCTTTCTTTTACATTTCTTCGACTTGATACGGTGTACGTAACGTTCCAGGTGTTTTCATTGATCGGCTTGTGTTGCCAATTGCAGCGGTAGGAAAAATAGAGACATTATTCTAGCTAGGTAGTCGTCGTCCTCCTTTTCGCTTACTCGTAAAAAGTTCCCTCACGTCGTAAGAATATACTTACCTATCGTATGAGTTGTCCTTATCGTCGAGTACGATGGTGGTATTCGACGTTCTAAGCATAATAAAAAAATATTTAGCCTTCTATGCTGCCGCCTCTGCTGCTGCTGCTGCTGCTAGATATGTGAGTTTAAGTTGTGAAAGTATATAGGTAAAAAAGAAAGTAAGGTAATGTTGAGCCATCGGTCGATTTTGCATTAGTGGACGTTAATATTAAATGAAAATGGGTTTATAGATAGATGATCTGTACGAATAAATGAAGGCTGTATTTTTGATACGTCCGTTATTTGCAAAAACGACCAATAGCTAAACCGCGATTTTCAACATGGCTTTTCATATCAACACGTTTATTCAGATTATGCTGATGTGTATATATTTATAGAGAGAGATCTATAATTATTGTAAATACACGTAATATGGTCGTCGTAATTTCAATTTTCAGCGCACGTACGTTTCACTCGTCGGAGAGCTTTATTCGAACATTTTGGGAAACGTAAACGGAAGCGCAAAATTTCGTGCACGAACGCACGCTTTGAACGACTATGATTTTTTTTTTCTTTCCCTCCCAACCCTTTTTCTWTTCTTTTCTTTTCTTTTACCAGTAATCTCTCTCTCTCTTTCTTTCTTTCTATCTTTCTTTTTTTCCTTCCTTTCTCTTTTTCACTTTCTCACATACACGCATACGCACACACACATTCGATCAGAGGGCACGCATGCACGCGTTTTCGCTTCGTAGACGAACTTTGACGTATAATTATATATAAAAAATCTATGCCGTTGCGCACAATTCGGCTTTCGCGTAGAAAAATTATTAATTTAAGGACGACAGTATGGTTTGGTATTGTATGGTATGTGTGACGTTCGATAAGGATGAATAATAGTAATGATAACATCGTGACAAACACGCTCCCTACCCGGAATATGTAGTTTGTTGAGATGAGAATAATAATACTCGTCCGTGGGTTCGTTGCAAAACGTGTAACATATTTCCTTGTACCTTTTCCGATTCGTATAAATTTTTTGGGACGACGGCTGGAAAAACTGAAGTACACAAATGATCGCATTGGTAATTAGAATTCGCGCAAAAATCAAAAAAAGGAAAAATAAAAATAAAAAAAAAGCAAAAGAGAGAAAGATAGAGAAGTGAAAAAGAAACACAATTATTCGTTTTGTATCATCAATTTGTCAGACAAATATTATCATAACTTTCTTTGACAATTCACAAATGTGCCACGTATTCATAGATATTTAGGTAAAAATTCGTAGATATCGTTTTCTTCGAAATTGACCTTTAAGTCCAGAATGATTTGGCAAATGGCTTAGGGCTGTTCAGCACCAGTGATCTCTTTTGAAATCAGTCTCTCTCGTTGAGTGCATTGATGAGATGAAAAAGCGAATGAAGCTTGGGTTTCGTCGACCTAGTGACTCTATTTCTGGAACTTTCAACTCCGCGAAAATATAGTTGGGTAACGTTAGTGGCCGAGTTTCTCGTATCTTTTCGACCTTTAATAATTCCCATTCCTTTTTCCGGAAACTAACGGCGCACAGTAATTATTTTAAAATCTAATGTTCAATATCTAGTTGAAGTATATTTAGTCTTATACGCGTTTTATTTATATACTTATGTATTATAAGTATAACGTCGTTACAATCAGTTTTACACGTAGCAAATTTTTGATCTTTACATTCACCTTTTCTCTTTCTTTCTTTCTCTCTTTCTCTTTTTCTTTCCTTATGTATCCTGTTCTATCTTTGACTTTTTTTCTCTTTCTCTCTCTCTCTCTCCATCTTTATATTTTTCACGAGCGCGCATGCAGACGTACACATCGGTTTTCTTTGAATTGCATATTCAGTGTTTCCTTTTCATAGTCTGAACAGCGATAAAGAAGTCCGGAATATTCAAAGTGTTTTTTTGAGCGTTAAGAGGAATAATATTTTAGTATTAAAATTATTCTCTAAGATAAAAGGCAATGAAACGAAATTTAGTGATATAGGTGGTTAGGTTGTCATCCCGTGTATTTTCTTGATCCCCTTTTTTTAAACTGTGTATGCACATTGACTCCGCATTAAATTGCATATTCATAACTCGGTCTCTTACTTCTGAATTTCTACGATCTGTCGCGTGATAGATCGAAAAGTATTGAATTGTTGTTAGGATGAAAAATATTTTCGCCTTGTTCCCCTTTTTGTTTTTCCATATTGTGCATGGCGAAATTACGATAATACACACTTTTCATGATTTTACGAATAATTTGTCCAGATGAATACAAACGATTAAACGATACCGATTCCTCGGACGAGTCGATGGAAATTATTCGAAGAATTTCGATTGTGGAGTATAATTGAACAAATCGAATTTCAAAACTAGAGTATTCCAAAGTTTCGCAATAAACGTACATTGACTATATCTTAAAAAAAAAAAAAAAAACAAAAGACCGATATGAAACTAAAATCTGTAAAAGGTATCGATGTTGGATGGAGAAATAATCCAATCAAAATGACGAATAATAAACTCGTTATACTTAGTTGTTTTCGTATGACATTCGCGATATTTCGATAGTCTTTAGGGCATTCGTACGATGTACGGTGAAATAAAAAAAAAATAAAAAGTATATATATATATATATAGTGGAGCACCGCCGATTATCTTTTGATAAATACAGATAGAATATAGACATAATTCGATGAATCAATGATAATCACGTATATATCTTTACGGTTTACTTCGACGAAATTTCGTAGGTGAAAGGAAACGAGATACAACGTGGCTATTATACTAAACGAGCTTTTAAGTAAAATCGATGTTTCACTTAATCTTCAATAACCATAGTAACACGTATTTCGAATTATAACGTCGGAAGGATCGGCACTCCACCGTTAGTATAATTTCCCGCTTAATTTTCATCTACACACGCACATACTCGTACGTGCACGCAACATACGCAGCACACACACACACAAACGGACGCATACAAATACGCATATACATTCGTACGTACATATACATATATATATATATATATATATATATATATATATATATATATATATCTTTATATTTGCTCTGCTTAAATTTAATTCGAACGTTTATTTAATTATACACTCGTTTTTTTTTTCTTTATCGTAATTATATCGCCCCTTTGCTCAATTCACATCGCGCGGAGGTATCGCTTTACGCGCACTTTGAAAAAATATCGGCGCTGTACATCGGAGGAGAATATATATTACAATGGATAAAGGTAAAATAAAACGAAGGAACTTGTCCTCGTTTCTACGTCCTTTTCGCATAATACGAATATCATTTTTTTTTGTTTTTTTTTTTGTGTACGTTGACGTAATTCAGTCGCGAACAGTCGAGAAGATCGGTTTAGCGAAATAGTCGGAATTATTCTTACTTTTCTTGAATTTTTATTTTATTTTACTTTATTATATTATATTTTTTTATTTTAATTTTATTTTAATATTTTATCTCATTTTCTAACGAAGTCCATTGAGATTAAAGTGCGTAAAAATTCAATAGACGATCGAAGAAATAAATCGACCGAAGATAGAACGTAACGAGCGGCATTGAGAAACGCGTAAGAACATGCGGGTGGAGAGGGTCCTAGGGTATAGGAAAAAGATTGTTGGTAAGATGGAATATTATGGGAAGAAGGTTGGTAGATGGAGGTGGGTTGTTGAAGTATGTATTTTTATGTTAAAGATTATAGATAGAGACGAAAAGAAATTATTGTCATGGAACAAATTTTCCAACGTACCAATTTGCATCCGATCGCGACCTTTTATTACATTCGTCCGTATATTTTGTGTTGTCTCGTGACGCGAAGAGAACTTATTTTTTTTTATATCGTCGACAGAGAGTCCTTCGTTCCCCCTTTTTTTTTGTCACACACATATTACTCGTCACACAATGAAACTTTATTTCTCACTCGTCGTCGTCGCATCGTTATGCGTTTATTTACAAGGTATTTACATGGGATTAGCGCGTTTTTTCTTTTTTTTTCTTGTGTTAAACACGCCGAAAAATGATGAAGATATTCATTAGAATTCGTACGAGATGATAATGCTCGTTACGCACCTATTATTTTTGTTGTTGTTATTAATTTTTTAGTTTAAAACGATTCTCGTGCGTACGATTGCATTAGCACCGGGAACGTTCGCGTACCTAAAACTCGGTGCATAGAAATTACCGATCACGAGAAATAATTTCTAATAAGAAAATTCAATCTCGGTATATACTATTTTTTTTTCTTTTTTTTTTCTCACATATTTATATATATATTATTGATATATATATCGTGCTAAACGACCGCGTCGCTTCCACGTGCCAGTTTCGACGTTGTGCGCGTTCGTCGTCAGTCGATAGGAGAGACGCACACGTTCGTTTGCAAATTTTTTTTTCCAATAAACTTACGTCTTACCGTGCCCCAATGAAGACCGACGATATATATTTTTTTTTAATTTTAAAGTCATCATCATCGTCAAATTGTCTTCGTTGTAAACGGCAAAAACGAAAGAAGCGTATTCGAGTCGCGTTAATAGCGTGCTTTGGTCACTCGTTCGAGATAATTCGATCTAAAAAATCATCTTCTTATCGACCTTTGTCAACGGCAGTTATTCATAAATTTAGGCAATAATATGTATATATATATATGTATGTAAATACTACATTATATATATTAATAATAGGCGTTTACAATAGGCACACAAGATTATGAAAAATAATCTTGAAATCGATGCTCTGTTTAAATAAATTCGTCGTAATGTCGTAACTTATAAAAATGATATAATTAGAATATAAAATACGGAAGATCGAAGGATAATATAGGAGAAAATGATTTTCTACTAATAATATAAAATAATAATAAATGAACATTTGGTAACAGGCGTGAAAGGGAACATAATGAAAATGAATAAGAATAAGAAGAAGATGTGTCGTGGTTGGTTACTGGCATACCTGTTGTAACAATTTGCGGTATGTTTTTGAACGGGTCCCAATTCTGAAGGAGACTCGATGATTGTGGTGGTAGTGTTGTTGATGGCGTGGGATGCGACGCGGCCATATCAGACGTAATATTCGTTAACGCCGGGCGCGTCGGAATCGCATCCCTATACGCAACTTTCTTGGCTCGAAATAAGTGGCGTGCGAACGGTTACAACTTCCCTTGCCGGATGATGCTTGTTCGTTGTAACACCGGTCAATCCGGTGACCCCGGTTATTCCTGTGACTGTTGACTCGTGCAGAAGTCCGCTCATCGTCGAGAGCGGCGTACTTCCGCATGAGGATGTACTCTTCACCGTGTCTATTTTAGGTGGCCTTGCTGTATGATCTATGCAAGCGTATACCGTTGCCTCTTTAGCGTAAGATTTTCCCCCGACGATAACACCACTTCCGTAACCCTGTAGCCCTCCGAGACCAGTGACGGTACCTAAATTCGCTAACTTCGTGTCCGTTCCCAAAGTCGACAGGGTGGTTGGCCTCGTTAAACATAGCTCTGCATACGTCACTTCACCGGATAACTATGAACAATATATATATATATATATATACGCAATAGAGATTAAATCTATTTTTCTATCTTCATAATATGTTAGTTAGGTAGAAATTAATTCGATACCTTCTTTTCTTTCTTTTTTTTGTTATTTAACAAATTTAGTATTTCATTTATATGGTTATTTATGATTATATCTTTCTCGAACAAGTGATAAATTCTTTGACGAACAAAACAAAAATTAAATGATTATTTTGACGAGATTAATTTCAAACATAGAGCTATCGAATTAATTATTGCGTCTATTACTTTATTTTCACCTTAATAATAATTAATTAATAATCGCTGACAAACCACGACAAAATATAGTTTTCGAATTTGATTATCACGATTGTATATAATTGTTTTAGTAATGATGAAATAAAATACGTTGACGCGTCGAGTGGTAATAATAAAAGGAATAATTTAGATAATCAGGATAGGTAAGGAAAGTGAAAAACAAAAAAGAAAAACGGCTAAACGTCGTTGTATTTTTTCTTCGAACGTCGTATTCCAAAGAGTTTCCCTTTTTTTCTTTTTCCTTTAAATTAGATGATAGTATTTTCGCTAAAGTTCATCCAAAGTTCGCCATGATAATCCTTGAAAGATACGATTATTTTCGGTAGTTCTGCCAAAGACTTGGATCCGAAGCAAAGAGAAACTTTCCTGCTAATGAGCGTCCACTTTCGAAATTCCAGACTTCTGGAATTCTTCTCAAAGCCCTTACCTACCTACCAACCTACCGAGCAGAACGGCTCGCTAGAGTTTTCTTCTCATTCCTTCTCATCTCGAATAAGCAAGAAATTCGAGTGGGCCAATGAGAAAACGGAGAAGATTGGTCGATACGAACAAAACAACGAAATTATTGAGGCATAATCAAAGTTTTAGTCTACGGAATTTCGTCTATTTCTCTTTCTTTCTCTCTCTCTCTTTCTCGACTTTTTTTTTTCTTATAATTTCATATCGACGTTCAGACCGCCAAATTCAATGAATAAAGTTCAAATCGGTTGATTGGAAATCTGTGATAAGGAAAAAATAAACGATAAAACAAACAAATATCGACGAAATTTCAAAATTATTGAAAATTACTTTCCATGTGTATAAAAATATTTTTATACTTTTTCTTTTTTTAATATATATTCAACTTTGTATTGTCTGTAAAAATAATCATAGTTCCTGTGTTTTTTTCATTCATCTCTTTATTGTAAAAGAACTATTCGAAAATCGAGATGTATTCGTTTATGTAATAACTTTATTAAAATGTTCGTTTTTTCGAAATAGGTATCGATATAAAATAACCTTTTTATTAAATATAAGTATCTTGAATAAGTAAGACATTTATGTACTATTTTTGTAGAATCGATGAAATGAACTCTTTCCGTTTCGCATTAATTTCAATTGAATTCATCGATTGATTGGATCGTATTTACTTTATCAATTTAATCAATTAAACTGTGTTTTACGAGTGTACTCGTAGCGAAGAAATATTTCGTGTAATCGTTTCATTTCTACGACACAAATTAGTAGTTTACAGCCTTTTCAAAAAGTTCATTACAGCTAATTGATTAATTGTTAATTACTTTTCTTTCGCATAATACACAAATTTGTCATTTATCTTCGACGAGTATACTAGTCTATTACAATTAATTGGTTTAATTCTACGTAATCGAATCGTTAGTATTATTATAACGATACTTACCGGTAAGGTTGGATAATTGTTGTATTCGTTGTAAGCGGTAAGTCCTTGAAGATGATTATTCTGCTGCGTTGAAGGGAGTGATGACGGTGGTAATCCATCCGGTGTATTTTGGGTTGCCAATGGTGTACCAGAAGTTGAACCGGTCAATTGATAATCTGAATCTTTTGTTCCAATTAAAATAACAATGTTTCAGATAGTTTTAATCTTAATTAAATAAAAATGTTATAATGCTCTTATTAATAGAACTTTCTAACTTAAAGATCTTTATTTCGTTTATTAATATTGATTAGTTCATAAAAAGCAAGTATTTTGTATCTTCTTTCTTACTTTCTTTCCTTCAAACTATATAATCTTCTACAAAGCCATAAAGCTCTAAACTTGAAGTTTCCCTCTTCGATAGGAATCTGTTACCGAGAAACTATAATGAGCTAGATGGAAGCCCATATATAGCTCATGATTTAGGAAGTTAGGATATAAGCTATGCGTACGATGCATCAAATAAATGATGGGCTAGTAGAAAATCCAGGCACGTAGAACGTATAGGCGAGTTATGACTTGATACATAGCGATTATCGATCGATGTACTACTATGAATATCATTTTGAGAATCAAAATACATAATATTTTTACATCGTACATATACATACAGTTATAAAAATATATTTATGTATAGATACATACCTTTATTACTTGGTACAACGTCCGGATTTCTGTCATCGGCATCGTAAAGATCTTCGGAACTAGGCGCGGTAGCTTTTTTCAAGGGCAAATCACCAGGCCTTTGAGCTCGTCTATCACTTCGTAATTTGAGTGCTGCGAAGATTATTCCAGTGACTAAGACTAGGGCGGCAAATACTCCAATGAGACCAAGTAATAGAGGTGTTATTTCGAAAGGCACCTGAGTACCTGTAAACAAAACGCGCACTGCTCTCGTGCAGTTACATTTTTGCATATTCTTAAGATCTAATTTTGCACAAATAAATCGTAGTAAATTATTATTTTGTTTTATATATATGTTAATTCATTAAAAAACGAGTTAAATATGAAATAATTATACTGTTTAAAAGTATGAAAGAAAGTTGAATTACATACTTTTTAATTACGTAATATAAGAATTCACGAAAGGTGAGTAGTTATAAAGTATGAAATTGAAATTTGATTCGTAGATTATATCCAATAGAACGGTACGATTAACAGAACATTGGGTTCTACAAAGAAATAAGAATATTTAGTTACAAGCATTATTGAAGAAAGAACAATTAGACTTTAGAGATTGATCAAATATCAATTTTCGTTTTTAAACTACTCACCTTTCATGAATTTATATATTGTATAATTATTTCACGAATAATCAGAATTATATTCAACAACGTTAACATATGCAATTTGAAAACCTTCGAGGTACGCGTGTAACAAAGTTATAATTTATTACTTAACGAGTTTTAATTTATAAATTAAGGACAGAGTTAACAGCAGTTAAGGTCTTGAACAAAATTAATTGGACAATGAAGTAGAATGAAATCATATATTGAGAGGTCAATCACCTCGTTTCACCTCTCTTATTATCGATGATTCATAATCGGTGTTCTTCGAAAAGTGCAGGCTAACATTTGTTCGCGTTCATTCTTCCAATTTTTTTTTCTTTTTTTCGATCCTTCCTTAAAAGTGCGGCCTTTTTAATAGGATCTTTTCACGAAGTTTGAGAGAGCTAAGGGTACGGCACCGATACGGCGCATTAAGCCGTAACGATCGAAGCGATAATAAGATAGTCAGGACTTAGTCATGCTTTCGAACGTCTAAGAAGAGAAAAAACTAAAGTAAAAAGAAATACATTTGAAGATTCTTAAGGTTTCGACTAAGAAGGATCGATCGATCGTTAAATTTTTCCAGTTTAACGGATCCCATAAGCTGAAAACGTTTGGTTGTATAGTTGTTAAATGATAAGTTTAATAGAATCTCTAGTCCTATTTGGATGGAAAAAATAAAGATAAAAGAAAAAGATGATGGAAAAAAAAATAAATAAATGATTTAAAAAAAAAAGAAAATATTATTTTACGTCGAAAGATGTATAATCTTCTTTATTTTTTTCTTTTTTTTTTCGGAAATGGTGAAGGTTGAACGTAATCTATCAAGCGGGAATACAGAAAATGGTAGTATTCGATATCAATAGTTAGGAAATTTGATTAAAGTTTCACGCTCGACGAAGCTTGCTCGAAGTGGATCGATTTTTGAACGAATCTCTTTAGTTTTTAAGTACGCATTCACGCAAGTATAGTATAGGTACACCTCATCGAAGAGAGTGAGAGAGAGAAAATCATGAATACATCGATAAGGTCCTAGAGTAGGAGGTGTCTATAGAGGTGTGAGGAAACTTGCTCGTTCATTCGCGTGCAGTCTCTAGCATAGGGCGAATCGCATCTCTCTTCATGGTGGAAACTGACCGAGAGCAATTTCACTTGTAAATTCGTCTAGGAGTCGATATATACGAGCTACCGAGTATATCCGCCGGCAGTGGATCCTAGCTCGGTTCACGTACCAGTACCTTCGTATAGTCTAGCTTTCGATTCCTACACAAACGAAGAGAATTCTACAGGCCGGTAATCCACTGGATGAATGCAACCAAGAGATCGTACTCGCTGTTCTATTTTCTCAAGTACTTAGAACTTGGTCTACATGTAGATTGTGTTCGATTTTGCAACCGATTATACTTGTTTCTCGTAAAACCTTCCTACTATTTCTCTGTCTCACTCTATCTTTATYTTTATCTTTGTCTTTATCTTTATCTTTATCTTTCTAATTTTCTCTATCTCTCTACCTATTAAAATCTAGTTCAAAGGAATTTCATTACGTGCCCGTTAAGCTGCTCAATTAGCGATGAGTCCCATTCGAAGCATCTTACTTATTATAATAGCTCGATTAAAGTGTTAAATAATAATAAAAGCATTTGAAAAGTAACTTACCTGTCTGCTTCTCGGCCACTTTTAAAGTAAAACCTTCTAGGACCACTTTCTCACTTTGTCCTTTACCATTGACGGCAAACAATATCATGGTGAGAACTTTGCCCGATTCCAAGTTTTGTACAGTAAATTGTGGAATCTCTCTAGTAAGATTTGCTTGTAGAATACCCGTTTCTTCGTCGAAAACTTCTAAAACGAAATATTGCGTTTGACCTCCGTCGAAACCTGCGGTGCATTCCACCGAAAGTGACTGAGTTGTTTGATTGGTTAGTGTACAATTGTAAGGGATTTCTGGTTTTCCTGAAAACAAAAAAAAAACAAAAATAAGAAACAATTTGTTGAATTTTCATCATTCCAATTGCATAATGTATCAACTATAGGAAAAGAAGATACGTGGATAGAAATAAGTTTCAGTAAAAGTCGTGGGATCCGAGTTAGATTAAAAAAAAGATACTCTCGATATTTTGAAAAAGAAACTTTTCTGAAACTAACCTGAAATAACTAACTGAACTATAACCTTCACGTGAATTTGTAGATTCGTCTTACGAGTGGCTTATGAGAAGTGAACGAGATGCACGCACGCACACACACACAAACACGTAAATATATATAAAGATAGGTAAGTAGGTAGGAAGGAATGTACGTACCCGCGGGTATGATGTAAAATATGCATGCGTTTTTCTGCTGGCCAGCAGCATTGCTCGCCCAACAAGACACGCTGCCATAGTCCATATCCGTGACCGGTCTGTACACGAGGATGCTTTGGCTGTGCTGAGTTGAGTTCTTGAAACGTGCCTGGGGCATGTCGACCATCTCCTGACTAGTGTTGAAGGCCCACCTAAAGCTTTCGGGAGGTGGATAAGCTTCGACCGTGCAGACCACCCTGGCGATCTCGTGACGCGCCACTCCATATATATTCTTTTGTTCGGACACGCAGATTGGCTTGTCTGCGAAAAGAAAAACCAACCAACCATCCCCACCCACACACATATATATTTCTTTTGACCATTTTTGTTCTTTTTTCTTTTTCTTTTTTATGTTCTGTGCTTTTTCCTCTCTTTCCTTTTTTTTTAATCTTTTTATACCGTTTACCTTTCTTTTTTTAGTCAGTCAGAGGCACTATACACCTACTACTACCTGTATTGTCCTTTGGAAAAGAATCGAAAGAAAAGTCGAAACGCGATAACGTAAAGAGTGAGACGTATGCGGGTGCGGGGACAGGGACAAGGTAGTCTACACCATTGAGAGTACAGTTTACGTACATTTATTAAAATTGCGAAAAAGGACGAAGCGTGGCGGACTGACCACGCTTACGCGCGCCCTTTCGAAAGGGAAAGATCGATGGGCGTTATTCGCCGGCTCGTCGTTCCAATAGTTTTGCCATTTTTCGTTTACGTACGTACGGGGTCTACGGCAGGACGGGGCTTACGAGTTGGTCGGTTTTACTCTCACAATCGCTTTAATGTTTTTTATTTCGACTTTTTTTTTCTCTTTCGTTCTTTCTTTCATCCACCGTTCGCGAATTCACCGCGCTCGTCATCGTATTTTTTAACGAATAACCGTAACGACTTTTCGACGGGGTGACTTTCCCCGTTTTGAGGGCTTACATTATACGCCAGTGAGTCTAACCAACGCGTACTTTCACTTTGTCGAGAAATTCTCGTATAAATAATTAACTACTATTTTGGTTAGAGATTCGTTAGGATACATAGATTTAAAATAAAAAAAAATTGTATATTTCCGGCACTAATAACAAGTATAAAAATAAATAAAAAACAAATTGAACAAAGTCGTTAACCGAAAGAAGATTAATGAACATTTCTATTTAAATATTATTTTGTAATATTTTGAAGATGAATATAAATGGCCCGTGTAAGTATCGTCTGTTAGAAAATAATCATCGTAATACTACTTCAATTTGATAGAAATATGAAAGTATCCTGAAACTAGGCATGAAAATTTCTACACGAACGTAGTAAAAGAGTATTCGGTTATCCAAATAAAAGGGTTGTGCATAGATTGCATTCGAAGTTAAAGTTATCGACTGACTGACTGAGTCGAACTATGCCGTGTTATCTATTTTTAGGCACGAACGCGCATTTATCCTTTCGCGATAAAACGAAAGGAAATAATTTAAAAAAGGCGAACTGAGAAAATAAATTTATACGATTGTATAAATATATATATATATATATAAACGTAATATTTTGACTCGTATTTTTATTCTACGAGCGTGTTTAAAAGAAAGCAAATATAAATATAAATATAAATATAAATATAAATATAAATATAAATAGAAATAGAAATAATAAAAAAGAGAAAAACATGAATAAGAAATGAATAAGAAAAATAATAAGAAATACTTACACATGATTTTGAGTTCGACGCTATTGCTATAACCATCACCCTCAACGTTGCTAGCAACGCAGGTGTAATTTCCGGCCTGGGAACGATTGACTTTTCTTAAAGCGAGATCGTATTGTTGTACTATTACGCCATTCTTTGCGTTGTTCTGAATGACGTTGCCCTGGAATGAAGCGTACATACAGACACATTGTGAGATTAAATCAGAAATCTGCGAAGAAAAAGAGTATCGGGAAGATTGGGGTAGGGTAGGGTAGAGCACAGTTTCACGAAAAGTAACGTGATAAGAAGAATAAGAAAAAGAATAAAAATAAGAATATAAGAAGATGAAGTAGTAGAAGCGGATACGAGGACGAATGAAAACGGTCTGTTAAAAGAAAATGGGTCGAAGAGAAATGCAACGAAGTGGAAAGCGAAGGAGGCACGCGTAATGTCGAATAGAGGACTAACATAAGACCATTTTCGTGACAAAGCTCTCTATCTCTCTCTCTCTTTCTCTCATATCTTTCTCCATCTATATTTATCTCTATCTCATTCTCTCGCATTCTCGAAGGAACGAAGGAAGGATTACATTTTCTTGGGAGAATTTCTCTAGGATCCGTTGTTACCTATAGAAGAGCTTTCGTAACCAAACGTGAAGACGATGACAAAAGAGAATAGTCAGGCGCGTGTAGTTAAAACCGCAACTCGGGATTAAGAGAGAGGCAGTGAATAACGACGAAGTAAAGGTAGCAAAAAAAAAAAAGGACAAAGTAAAGTTAGATAAGAGCAAAGGATAGAAAGGAAGAAAGAATGTATAATTATTTAGGTAACTAAATATGTATGTACGTTATATACTGGAAAGAAAAGATATGCTAAAAGATGGGTACAAAGTTCTTTTGATTTTAAGAGAATACATAAAAGTGAGTTAAAAGAGTTCATTGTTAAATTGTTGCATAAAGAGGAAAAGAGAGAGAGAGAAAAAGAGAGAGAAAGAGAAAAAGAGAGAGAGAGAAAAAGAGAGAGAGAGAGAGAGAGTTGATGCTTATTCGTGCATGCATAACTCTGATGTGTGTCTATTTATTATTTACTTATATTACTGTATATACGAGAGAATAGAAACAAATTCCTGTGGGATCGACTTACGTTGTGCTTCCAGACGACTTTGTAAGCCCAGGGATTCGCACGAACCTTACATTCAAAGTAGACATCATCGCCTTCCTCTATGTCGTCGGGATTCATGTTGGAACCAAGCCCCAACTTTAAGATAGGAACGACTGAAAGAGAGAAAAAAAAATCAATTCTCGTCAATGTTATTGTCTTAAGCTGCTTACAAGTCTCTATTTGAAATAGAGGAATATATTGTAAATTCTCGAGAATTACAAGGCAAACCGAAATAGAACAGCACTTCGTCGAAATTGGTTAAATTTCTTACTGTGCGATCTGTCAAGAAAAATATCAATATCTTCGTTTGACAGAATAAGGACAATCTTAAATATTTTTCTAAAATAGCTTCATTTGTCTCAGTATTTTTTATTATTCATTCAATTTTAATTTTTTTTTAAATTTTATTTACGTACTTTGAAGAATTTTATAGATAAATTTATTATTAACATTTCGATATCTTGTAAGATAATTTTTTGTCAGATTTAAAAATTACAATCTTATGAAATATTTTTGCGTTTGGTTTGAATTTCTTTAAAATTATTTTTTTATACGTAATATTATTTGTCTTTGTAATAATCGATAAAAGACACAGATTCCTTTATTATATTATAAATAAAATTTCTATATGTAAATCTAATAAAATACAATAAATGTCGAATAATTAGGTACATTAGTTCAAAAAGTATATCCTTTTAATCGCTATGCACGAGTTAATGCTTCATTTAAAACGTGAAGTTAGACGATTTATATTTCCGTTAAAAAAGAAAATCTCTTCGTGCATAAACGATGATATTGCGAGATATAAAGTGAATGACAGAGAAATTCGAATACGTCATTACTTGTAGCGAACTAGTAATAGTAGTAGTGATCTTGGTGTATATCACGACGAATCGCGACAAGTTCTCGAATAAATCGAAGCGCATCGGAGTTGTACCGCTCGGCCATTCCATTTCGGGTTCTCGTTGACGTCTCGTTATTGCGATTACATTCCCGTTAGCTCGACGTAATCTATATCGACGACCCCGTTTCGAGCTGCCATGCACGCTTTTAACTCGTTTACCTCGTTGATATCTAGATAGATACATTTTGCGTCTATGCGTGCGTACGTACGTACGTACGAACGAACGAACGAACGAACGAACGAACGAACGAACGTACCTATCCTACGTGGATAGAACTGTCGTGTAGTTATGGTATATATACATAACGTATATATATATATGTAAAGTATGTAGAGAAACGCAGAGAGAGAGAGAGAGAGTGAGAGATGTATCTCGGACGAAATGTCGACCGAACGAACGAACGAACGAACGAACGTACGAACGCAAACACGGATTTTTGCAATGCCAGGTTGCTTTGCCGTGAGTTTGTCCCGAGCGTACTACTCGCATCCATTAGTATATGAAAAATATCCCTCTCGTTCGCTATTTTTTTTCTTTTTTTACTTTCTTTTTTTTCTTTTCTTTTTTCTTGTTTTTTTTTTTTCTATTCCTTTTTATTTTTCGTTTATTTTTTTTTCTTTTTAAATCTCGCGCATCTAATGTTGTCGTCACCAGCGATGAGAGAATATTTTTTTCTTTTTTTTTTTTTTTGGTTTTAAAAGATAATATTCGCATTTGTGTCGGTAATACTTACAGTAAATGTTGAGCTTCAATGTATCCTCAGCGTATCCACCGCTAACTTTATTATTCTCCGCTCTGCAGGTCAACACTTTATTGTGATCGAAGAGTGTTGGTTTGAAAGTGAACACGGAACTCGTCATGTTTCCATCGGCTGATACCTGATTGAGATAAGAATATTTTTTTTTTTTGTAATTAAAATATTCGGTAAAAATACGTTCACTCAATTTGGTCATCTTAGACTTGCATGAAGGGTAACATAATTTTTTATTTAATTTAAAATATCATACATCACTTTCGTCTAATAAGCTTTTGCAATTATTAATTTATTTCGTTAATCTTAAACAATTAACAATTATAAGCGGATGATGCGATAAAATAATATTCTGATATATTTCTATTCACTTAACCCTTTGCGCACAAGTTTGATTACTCTTGTCAATATTGTTTGTAATTTGCGTTCATTAAATAATATAGAAACAGTAGGGGGCTAAAATATATTTACTAATTAATTATCATTGTTTATGAAATATTAATTAAACTTTGTAATAAATAAATACACATCGCGTAAGCTTGTATGAGTTTTAATCGAAGTTACGTTGATGATTTACATTGAACTCACTCGTATAACGTTATTCGTTCGCAATAGAGTAAATAGTAGAACACTGCGGTACTCTGTTGTAGGACTTTTTAAAAAATTGTATGCTGTACTCAAATAAAAAAAGATTTCATTCATTAGTCGCGAAAGTATTAAATGTAATCGAGGTCGTATCAATAATCTGTAAAAAGAGTTGGCAGGTAACAAGAAAGGGTTGAGAAAAGGAAAAGAAAAGAAAGGAAATCAAAGGGGGGAGAAAAAGAAAAAAAAAGGGAAGGTATAAGAAAGGGTCGTAGAGATGAGATTATACGTTGACATACGCACGAACAAAGTCGAATAATTACTTAGTGAAAGATAACGTTGCGAAGAGAAGTAAGGTAGGATCGGACTTTACACGGCTTATAAAACGGGAGCGTTAATCCGACGATAAGTCTTAATGACCGGACGAAGTTGGCCTAGGTAGTAGGGGCGTTTATCATTCGCTCACTTGCGAATAATTTTCTCGGAAGGAAAGCCATCCTATCCTAGGTCGACTAAACTTCCGAGCTTTTTATTTTTCTTTTTTTCTTTCTAATTGAAGAGAAAAGAGTTCTAATCATATTGTAACGGGGCATATAAAAATCACAAAGAAAATCAAAAATAGAGAAAAAAATATTATTAAAAAAGATTGGTGGTTGATTATATTCCTGATTGAAATCTATTTAAAGAATATATCGATTCCCTGTTTGTTGTCTTTCTTACAAATCACTCGAACGAACGTACGAACGAATGAAGGTAGGAACTTACGAAGAAGGAACTAAACGCATGCGCGTTTTCACGGAAGTGAAAACTTATCGATCGAACTCGATCTCCGGCATCTATCGAACCGAATCGAGCTTTTACAACAACTCGCGGGATAGGAATTTCAGGACGAAATTGAAGCGAAATTCGCGCGTACGACCGGCCATAAATCGAGAAAGTCGAATCACCTGGCGTTGCTGCCAACTATGCGGCCACGTTTCGTTCTAGCTCACTATCGATGGTGAACGTGCCATCAGTATAACTCGCTGTCGCTATCAACTTGTTTCCCCAACACTTGGATATTATGAGGCTTTACTACTGGGTACGGTTCGAGTCAACGCGTATGTTCCCGTTTGGTTCCTCTGCGTTATATTCAATTCAAAATTCTTAACATTTTGTAATATTTTAAATACGTGAGAAAAAGAAGAACAAAAATATTTTAACATATCGTTCCCATCGATCTCGGTTAAGTTACGCTATGTTTAAAAATGATATGTTGTATGTGACGGTTTTTTTTCTTTTTGTATTTTTCTATTTACTTAAGTATGCCACGATCAAAGAACTGTCTCGGCTTTCGAGACGTTAACGGTACTACACCCAAAGCAATAGAAAAGAAGACGAAGAAGAAGAAGACAAATGGAGAAGGATAGATCGCGAAAGCATCGTTTCTATCCGCGGTAATTGCAACATGGCGTGTTGTAGGGAACCCTTAATGGCGACGATGCAAATACCGATACCCGACCGCTAATGTCTGTGATTTCGCGAAGAACGATCGAGGGTGGGATTCATGTTTCCTTCGTGTTCGTCGACCGATGTTGTTTTTTGGCCCCGATGTTTTTTTTTTGATCGTGTACTCAAACCCCTTGCCCGCTCTTACCCCTGCCTTCGCACATTCGAACTTTGGCCCTATATTCGAACTTCCCCTTTTTCGCATTTGGCCCTCCCCTCCCACCTATTCTCCCTCGTACTACCGTCCGGAATGTTCGTAAGGAGAAAATGATGACGAGCCCGTTGGATGTGGGTCGTAACCTTTCTTTCACGGCTCGGAAATGTTTTACGCCAAAACGTGTGGGCTCTCTTTACTCTCTTCGTTTTCTACTCTTCTACATATATCCCATACTATACCAGGTTTTGATGTGAAATAAAAATGAAAGGGTACCTACCAACCTACTCGTCTCAAGGATAAGAGGAAAAGGAAGAGGAGAGTGGTGGAGGGCTAATAACTCGAAGACGTTGGTTCGCTTCAGAGTTAAAATAAAAGGAGATAAAATGAAAGAAAAAAAGGAAATAATAAAAAGAAGAAAAAAAATCTGCTCACCTTTTCCGTATAGTTATCCATTTTTTGCCCGTCCAAGTACCAATATAGTTTAGCTGGTGGCCTTGAACCGACAGTTATACAACTAATGTTGTATTTTCTATCGGCGCTGATTGTTGTTTGCTCGTTGCTAAGTATATTCACGCTGAGAGGTCTCACTGAAAAATATATAATAGTATTAAAACAAATAATAAAATCGATAATCGTAAGAAATCGTTATTCTCTTAGATAGAAAATTTTCAACGATGATCGAAAAACAAGTGTGATGTAAGAAGAAAAAAGTAAGGGGTAGGAGTATAAAAGAGCCTGGCGCGCCCCGAACTTTACCGAACTTGCCGAAACTTCGTTTTCTTCGTTAATGTGTTTTAAACGAGTAACACCAGCATCGGTAGACAGCAAACAAGCGTGACGTATCGCCACAAAAACCTACCAGCCCTCTCTTTCTTTCTTCCTCTCGTTTCAYATAACATTAAGAAAAGAATGCGAGTTTTTCGAGACTGGCAAAGGACTATCGAATTGTTATTCGTTACATTTTACCATCAATTTTTCACCTAACTTTTTTCAACGACTATGACGACGACAAACAAATTCACATTACGCGAGCATAACTAATAAAGAAATATTTGCCAAGGATCAAGATTGATAACGTTATGAACAAAATAGAGGTAGGGTATGTATACATGTAGAACGAACAGATGGATACGGTATAGTAAGTTTGGCAAAGTTTTTTTCTTCTTTATTTTTTTTTTTCTTTTTTTTTGCATAGGCGAATTGACTTCTCCTATCGGTGGTTTTCTATCGAATTTAATCGCAAACAGAACGGAAAAAGGAACATCTTTCTTCGTAAGAAGGGTGAAAAAGTCTTTGGGTGAGGGGGAAGGGGAGGTGGAAAAGGTGGTAACTCTACGAAAGAAGACAGACAGAGGGAAAAGAAGGATTTTCCATTCAAGCAGCGTTGAAGTTAGCGCGTTGGAAAAGGATGAGAAAGAAAGAAAGATCAAGGAAAGAGACAAATAGAGAGAAAGAGACAGAGAGAGGGGTGATGGGGGGTAGGTGGGGGAGTGAAAGGTGAAACGTGGTAGAAGAGAACTCGGAATTAAACTTTCAGGACTCCGAACTTTTGACACCAATGAAAAATTTTCTACTACTTCGTCCTATCCTCCATAGCTCTGGTGGTCTTCTTCTATCCTTCGTTGACAGCTTCCACCTTCGAGTCCGTTCCCTTAATCTACTTCCTATTACTTTTTGTTCTTCATAACAACGCGCTCGCATATTACACGATTATAATTGGTATAATTCTATCTATAATATAATAATATTGAGAAATATATAGGTGGAATATAATTATGGAACATTTCACGTCTGTTTAATGCAAATACAATTTTTGTGATTTCGTTTATAGGGTAATTACAATTTGCATTATAGGATGGTATAAAATATCTGTTCATATTTTTAATCAACTCATTTGATTTATACGAAATGATAAAAGAGAGGAGATTCTAATTAATAATAATAAATATATTGAATATATACATATAAATATAAAGTCTTTTATTTCTACTTAATTGTAAGCATATTAAATCGAGTAATTTTGCAATTCATAAATACACGCACACAGTGAAGTTTAGTATTTCAAAAATATATATATTCTATAAAATTCATTTTAGTAATATTCTTTGAATTTTGAAAGTTTGAATACATTTATCATTTGACATATGTCTATGATAACGAATAATATTTAAAGTAAATAACGTGTAGCATCAATGTGAACGTCTTTTTTTTCGACAAAATTGAATAGCTATGAACTACCTGTAGGATCGTGGAATAACGCGTCATTAAAAGTTTACTAAAAAAGTTCGATTGATCGATGGTTGATTGAATAACGCGTTTGGTACAAGGTACCTATATCTACATTTATTTTCAGTACTCTCTTTGCTTGGACATCGATGATGAATGGGGGTTGGAACGACGGAGAAAAATATGCGTAGGCGTCCATTAAAGTCTTCATGTTGGTCACCGGATAGATATATGTATGTATATAGGTTGGTAGTTATAATGGATGTTCGATAGATGATACCGTCAATGTAAGGTTTCTTTAGAAACTTAAAACTTCTAATCCATAACTACTGTACAATTCGCGAGAAAGGATAATCCAGGTTTTTTTTCTTCTATTTCTTTTTCCTTTTTTTCATACTTCCTTTCTGCAGGATAATAATAAAATAAGTTTATCTTTTTTCTCGAGAGAAAGACCAAGACGACGATAATACGCAATCCCTGGAAGCAACAAAAATTTTTATTCTTATAATCGCAGTGTTACCTTTTTGACAACGAAAGGAGAAGTTTTAATTGAAACGTTTTCACGAAAAAAAAAGAAAAAAAAATCAGAATCAACGTGAAATTATCCCCAAACAAAACGGTCTATGTCAAAAATTCCTGTTCCTCCGGGGCAAAATTGGGAACGGTTCGATAGAATCCCGATGAGTTCGTGCGAGAGGAGAACAAAAAAAGAAATGAAGAAGAGGACGGAGAAAAGAGAGGCAAAACGATTGGAATAAAAAAAAAAAAAAGGAAAATATCTAACGAGAGATCCATGGAGGAAAAGTAAAAATGGTTTAAAGACCGTTGAGACAAGTGAGGAGTAAAGAGAGAACGATCGCATGCGGAATAACGAACGAGCTGCCGAGGATAAAGTTATTGCTATTGCAAATTAGAAATACCTACTAACTTTATCCATCTATCTAACAACGACACGTTTGATTTTATGGTAAATTTAGCCAACGTCGTTGCTCTTTCTCTCTCTTTCTTTCTTTCTCTTTCATTTATTTCATTATTTTTTCTTTATATTCGCGAAAGAATAAAATAATCTCTGTTGTTAATTATTGAAAGTTTGGTCGTCGAGAAAGAAAAGAAAAGAAAAGAAACAAAAATATAAATTTGGAGATTATTTAATTAATAATTAATATTTACTACCCGTACTGTGCAACATTTTGTTCTTTACATCTTTCATGGTAAAACAAACAATTTAGCTCTATATTTGTTTGGACTTTTCAACAAATTGTATGGGCATTAATTTGTTTATTATTTTTGCGTACTTTTTTTTATTTGTTTTTTTTTCTTTTTTTTTTAGATATAGTGACGTTAATTAAAAACAATATACATTACAAAAATGCGTAGATTTCAAATGACGAAAGCTTTGCAAAATACTAACAAAAGAAGGGATTAAGGATAGTTGAGCAAAAAAGTAAACAGAAAAAAATGTAACATCATTTTACATATTATACGAGTAGTAGTACTTTATATTCTTTTCTACTTTCTACTCACGCATCTCATTCTTCTTTTACGATAGAAGTTATTCCGTAATCCGACCATCTTTTAATCTAAAATATACGTGATTTTTTCCACGTATTCGTTCTATTATAATAATAATAATAATAATAATAATAATAATAATAATAATAATAATAATAATAATAATAATAATAATTGTTAGATAGTGCCACGTAGAGAATAAACATTATTAAAAATTTACTTTAAAAAATTTGTTTAAATTAATTCTTACCGAATTTGAAAATTTTTGTTTGAGATGATAATTAAAAAATATATACTTAATTAATTACATATGTTTCTACGTTAAAAACTGAGTTTATATTAAAAGTTAACCAAGCACGCGTACATTCAAAAAAAAAAAAAGGGGAAGTTTTTAGTGAAATACCGTATTGGGATTAAACGCAATAAATTTACGATACCAGTTGTAATAATTTTAAAAGGGATGCAAGTATCTTTCATTAAGAGATGCGGATGTAGGGAATCAAGATCGATACCATAATCGAACGAATTTTCGTCGATATCGTTACGCTAAAAGCATTTGGTATATTGAAAAATCAATGGAATTGGACTACAGTAGGAGGAGGAGGAGGAGGAGGAGGAGGAGGAGAAGGAGAAGGAGGATCGTGTTACAAATAAACGAGTACATGAACGATTAGTGTGAGACACGATAGGGAAGAGAAGGAGGAGGAGGAGGAGGAGGAGGATGGTAGAAGAGTGTTATAACGAATAAACACGATACACAAGGCTTTCGTTTCTCATCGCAAATGATAGTGTTAATTTATTTCTTAATTTGCATTCATGGAAAGCTTCTGGAATAGAAGGACAAYGTTTAGAGAGAGAATGAGAGAGAGAGAGAGAGAGTAGATTGAGGCGAGAAACATTTGTTGATGGAAAGGTCCTATACGTTAGAATATACATACAAACTAAAGGCCGAATAGGATGGAAAATAGAAATGTAGTTGTTAGTACGTAATACTTGCATATGTATATGTTTACGTAGAGAAAGAGAAAGAGAAAGAGAAAGAGAAACAGAGAAGGAAATAGAAGGAAATAGTAAGGGAGAGAGAGAGAGAGAGAGAGAGAGAGAGAGAGAGAGAGAGAAATAGAAGCTTATATGTAGCAGCAGGTAGTCGCGCAGTCGACACAGTCTCGTTGCGGGGGTCACAGGAGACTCACTCGACTCCGATGGTAGTCTGAGAGGGTTCTCCTGCCTTACTCAAAAGCACTGTCTCCGGTACACAATCAAGCCCTGCAGCTCGAGGGTCGATGTCTCTTCTCTTGCTCACCCTTTTCGTCTTCTTCCGGTACCCTTTCTTTTAGCTGTCCCCCTCGGTTCACAGTATCTTCTCACCCCTCGTCATAGCTCGTCTTCTTCGTAACATAGCAGCAACAACAGCAGTAGTAGTAGTAGTAATAGTAGTAGAAGCAGTAGCAGCAGTAACAGCAGCAGTAGTAGCAGCAGTAGCAGCAACATCGGGAGCTTTAGCTTGTTGTCGACGTCGTTGTCGTTGTCGTTGTTGTCGTCGTTGTCGTCGTTGTCGTCCTTGTCGACGTCGTTCACGTCATTGCGTGACTCGTTCCCAAGCATTCAGATATACCGCAGCTCGAAGCTCTCTCTCATTCTCTCCTTTCCTCGTTACACAGAACTCCTTGCACCTTTAACTACCATCGCGAGTCATTCCTTCCCTACTTCCAACTTCTTTATCTCTCTTTCCTCCCTCCCTCCCTCCCTTTATCACTCATCACCCCGTTCTTTCGCACTCTTCATTTTTTTTCTACTTGTTACACGTACCCTATGCTTCTAACATCTCTTTCTTTTTCCTCCCCTCTTT